AAAATAAACTTTGAATTTAGTTAGAAATATACCTTCTTTTTTTGGGTGGGGGTATATTAAAAGACAAGAGTTACAGCTAACTTGACAAACTGACAGAAAATGAATAAGAACAGTTGTAATCAGTATTTCTATCCGTTTACTCTGAGTTATTATCGTTATTTTTTTTCTTAAAAAACATGAAAAAAAAAGCTTTTAGAAGTAATTATGTACTAGTTTAAATATTCTTTTGTTTTAAAAAATATTTTTGTCACTGATTTCTTCTACAGATACCTCACACATTTGTAGTTTTTTTTATTCCCTCCATAGTCCTTTTGCAGCAGTCAGGTAAGTTCCTGTTCAAATACGTAATCTGCTAAGTGTAATCTCATGATAATTTGAAAGTTTCTGTCATGATATTTTTACAGATCTTCATGACACAGTTTATAATTAAATCATACTAATATACACGCTAGCCTTCAGTATTTCAAAGACTCGAAAGATAAAAGCTTGTAAAAAGTCTGGGTATTAATATATTAATTTATCCTCCATATTATTATTGATAATTTTCCTGATTTTAGTGTTATAAGTCCGTAGACTAACCGCTGTCCCAATGGGGTACAACATAATTAGAATATCGCGGTTGTGAAGACATTTTCTTAAATATTTAGCTTGTTTGGGATACAGACTACACAAGGACTATCTGCACTAGATAGACTTAGAGGGAAGGCATCAAGTCAAAGACACACCGCCAACTTTCTCAGCTACTCTAAATGAACAGTTGGATTTGAGGTCAACTTTATAACACACCTTACAGCCCCAAATTGTAAAGCAAGATTTTTTTCTTTCTGTGGCAAAGCTCGAGCTGTGTAGCCTCAGATCCATAGTTCAGCACAATGAATACTTGGCTGCACCCATCCAAGATTCTTAAAGACCTACTAATCAAGCCCCCAGTATCACAGCAGTATGTCTTACAATGCTAGAAACCGGGTTTCGATACCAGTGATGGAAAGAGTACAGATAGCCCTTTGTGTTTAACTACAAACAAACAAAATCAAAGGACAATAAACTTCTAATTATGTATAAAATTGTCTTTAACTAAGCATCACTTTGATCTTTCCATTGTTCTGCAACAAGATGCTAACCTTGTATTTATGTTTAGTATTTTCTCATTATCGTACTCTCTCTCGACCTTTATACCGTATCTTCTCATTACTGTACTTTCTCGACCGTTATACGGTATTTTCTCATTACTGTACTCTCTCGACCTTTATACCGTATTTTCTCATGACTGTACTCTCTTGACCGGTATACGGTATTTTCTCACTACTATACTCTCTCGACCATTATACGGTATTTTCTCATGACCGTACTCTCTCGACCTTTATATCGTATATTCTCATGACTGTACTCTCTCGACCATTATACGGTATTTTCTCATAACTGTACTCTCTCGACCGTTATACGGTATTTTCTCATACTGTACTCTCTCCACCTTTATACGGTATATTCTCATGACTGTACTCTCTCGACCGTTATACGGTATTTTCTCATACTATACTCTCTCGACCATTATACGGTATTTTCTCATAACTGTACTCTCTTGACCGTTATACGGTATTTTCTCATGACTGTACTCTCTCGACAGTTATACGGTATTTTCTCATAACTGTACTCTCTTGACCATTATACGGTATTTTCTCATGACTGTACTCTCTCGACAGCTATACGGTATTTTCTCATGACTGTACTCTCTCGACCTCTATACCATATTTCTCATGACTGTACTCTCTCGACCTCTATACCATATTTCTCATGACTGTACTCTCTCGACCTTTATACCATATTTTCTCATGACTGTACTCTCTCCACCTTTATACCGTATATTCTCATCACTGTACTCTCTCGACTTTCCTATGAAAATCGTGCTCACTACTATCCATTCTAGGTTATGTGAATTTCAAGAGGAAAACATGTCTATTAGAAACAAATAACGTTTCAATATAATCTAATTCGGCAGTTCAGATTCGTGACTGATATCTGTCACTCAAGTGATCTCGGCCGCTATTACTGATAACGTACATGCCATATTTGGATTACAAGTATAACCACTCAGTCTTCTAAAGGATTACACTGTTAGTGTATAAAACAGTCGCATGGAGTAGAACATCTGCTTAAGTGATTTCCTACTTTCAGTAAAACAACAACAAACAAATGCTATATTTTATGTATCAGAACATATCACACATATCAGACATGTTACTCTGCTACAACATGAACCCGTTACATAATGAGATACAAGTGTAGCATGTCCTGCTACCTTGTCACGTTACTCCGCTACAACATGAACACGTTACATGATCAGATACGAGTGTAGCATGTCCTGCTACCTTGTCACGTTACTCCGCTACAACATGAACACATTACATGATCAGATACGAGTGTAGCATGTCCTGCTACCTTTTCACGTTACTCCGCTACAACATGAACACGTTACATAATCAGATACGAGTGTAGCATGTCCTGCTACCTTTTCACGTTACTCCGCTACAACATGAACACATTACATGATCAGATACGAGTGTAGCATGTCCTGCTACCTCGTCACGTTACTCCGCTACAACATGAACACATTACATGATCAGATACGAGTGTAGCATGTCC